AAAATGGTGCTGGATCGCACCAGCAACATGTTCTGGCCAGTATCACTAATTACTCATTAAACATAACAAAAGAACTTATCCAAACCCTCAATTCTGGGTTAGCTATCATCTGGATAGACCTGAAACCCCAAAGGAATAATAAAATGGCAAAAGTAACTAATAGTAGAACACTATCTTCCAGAGAAGAAGCCTAAGTAAATGAACTCATTTTAACGTGCTGATTACTTCATTGTTGTATGTTCCAACTTGATGTATAAGCATTATCGTCCAGTAAAGACTGGCCTTGTGTTCAGAGGATGGTCTTTGAAATGGACAAGAACCCGTCTGGCGATGTCAGTGATGTAAACATTGTCCATTCAGCATTCTTGTCCATCATCAGCAAGACTGCTTTACAGTCACTTGAGAGGCACCACCACGCCATCAATGAACCCCGCCAAACGGTAATTTGTCTCCACGATATCTCCGTTGTCTATAATGCACGCAGACACGTGATTTCATCAGCCATCAATCACTTTCGTCCGACCAGTAGCCTTCCCCTATTCCACTGAATCCCGGCCGCTGATATTGCTGGAATATTAAGCAAAAGCGTTGGCGTAAAACTATGTAATTTCACATCACTCATAGCTAATCTTATCATAGTTCCAGTAGCACCATTGACTTTACAGAGGACCAGTGGTGCGCAGACTAAGGACTTGGCATACTCGAGATCCTTTATGTAAATAATCCCTTTAACAGGTTGTATACATTCTCATAGTAAATCACAACCAGTTTCTACCGGGTTCACCAAGTTGCTACCTAGGGAACGTTGAATAGTTCCGACCTAACTAATAACATTTGCTGTCTTTCACAATCTCAATTCGAATTTTGGGAGTTTACGTAAATAAAGTGTTCATCTTTAGAATCTTGTTTCATTTTATTCAACACTCTCAAGCATATTTGTTCGAGCATTATCTTCGATTAATTTTATTTCGAAAAACACACTCAACCCCGATAACATTCCACCTTCATGTTGAGACATTACTCCGGCAAGTTGCCACGCCGATCTGGTATTCAGTTAATATTTCCTTTACATTGACATAACTCAAGAAAATTCGTATCCTATAAGCTATTTTGTTCACAAACCTCGACATTATTTCTCCTGGTACAGAGACTGAAGGTCAAAGCTTTTGATGTCCTCCCCATGTGTGTCACGGCGCTCCTGTGATCAGGGTGCTGTATTAAATATGGCTAAAGCAATAGTATAAGTATTGGAGAAAGTGTCACAATTGTATTAATAGTACCTTAGACATACGATGTAAAGGGATCAATGCTCAAATTCAACACTGACAATAGACAGGCTATTAACAAAACCACGATACAAAAACCAAATACACAATCTGATTAGCTCCAGCAACAGTATAACCGCGATATCAACAAAGATAGCTTCGCAATCACTCTCGACAAGACAATCAACAAGCTGCACAGGCAACCAAGTCGGCTGTTATCACATGGGAGTTCTGCGAAGTGCAAAATTCATTTTATTCAATTGAATACTGTAATATGTAAATATCAACAGCAAGACATGAGACACGGGAGATATTATATGTACACTGTGCATGGGTGGCTGAATGAGCAATTCACTACCTGACCACACAACAACCACTCGCGACTATGTCTCTCTGTTTGGCGTGTGCGTGCATGAGATGCGTGCGTGCGTGTGTTCATCAATATATGTATTATGACTATTATATTACCGTGATTGTGTGTAGGGTAAATGTGCAGAACAGCCACGAGTGATACAGGTATAGCGGAACATTTTATATTTTTATGAAGGCGTTTACTGTCAGCACATCTAGTAAGCGCAACTAAGTATGGCGTGAGCGTAGTAAATGCTGCACTTACTAAAATGCTGTAACAATTTTATACATGGAATATCATTGATTTTACAATACATGCCAAAATACTATATTTACATCAAATACACTATAACTTAAAACATTTCTTCTGTGAAAATATATACATGCATATAAATCGCAACACGGAAAACATAATACGTACGTAGGGTCAATTAAACCCAATGGTTTAGATAGAAATATTTAAGTTTACACTATAAATTGATGGAAATAGTTACCAATTAAATCATTCTTCATATAGGTTTTATTAAGATTTCGATTTTCGATTACAAATCACTTCATATTAGGGCGTATGCAAATGAAAAAATGTCGGATCTAAACTCAAACTACATCAATGTTCTTATTGATTACTGCGTCTTAGTGCCATGTGTGTGTAATTGCAATGTGCGTATAACATTTTGGACAAATTCTTGTCTTTCTTAAAATCAGTAACAGAATTACTGTTAATTATTGCCTCTTTGCTCTTCATTTTAGGTGAATTCCAAGGTTGTTTCATAGCGGTGAATCGTTGAAAACGTTGTTTGTTCGTGCAAAACAGAATGCTTAGAAATTCATATTTGTTTTTTAATTTCAAGCCGTATCAGTAGTTGAAGTTTCCATTCTGTGTATCGTAGGCGAAAATTCCAGTGATACAGATAGTTTTGAAAGTTGATACGGTATTTCATGCACAATTGAAATAGAATGGCAAGCCCCAGTACTGAATCAAATGTGACATCTGCCCCGCTAGGAAATTGGTGAATCGTGATACATGGTCACTGAGGACATTCTTCGGCGACGATCAACAAGTAACTAATAAGTTACCATTGTGGTGTTATATTTGGTAATCGTTTCTCCAAGTGTAGCTTTCTGTCATAACCCTGTAGTGCATAAGGCTTTTGTGGCGTACCTTTATGTCATAATCTGTGGTGATGAACTTTATCCAGTATACCTTTATGTCATTACCCTGTAGTATAACCTTATCAAATGTACCTTTATAACAATACCCTGTGGTATAACCTTATCAATGTACTTTTTACAGTGTATACCCTGTGGTATAACCTCATCAACTGTACCTTTATATGTCATACCTCCTGTGGTATAACTAGCTTATCCAATGTGCCTTTTATGTCATACCCTGTTGTATAACCCTCATCGAATGTACCTTTCTGTCAAGCACCCTGTTGTATAACCTTATCCAAATGTGCCTTTATGTCACCCTGTGGTATACCTTATTCATTGTACCTTTATGTCATACCCTGTGGTATAACCTCATCAAATGTACTCATGTCATACCCTGTTGAATAACCTTATCCGATGTACCTTTATTAGTATCATACCCTGTGCATAAGCCTTATCCAGGGGCAGTACCTTTATGTCATAACACCCTGTGGTATAAAACCTTATCAAAGTGTACCTTTATTTATGCCATACCCTGTTGCATAACCTTATCAATGTACCTTTATATTATGTAATCGTTTCCAGTGTAGCTTTCATGCCATACCCTGTAGTATAGGCTTTTTTTGTCGTGTACCTTTATGTCATACCCTGGTGGTATGTATAACCTTATCCAATGTACATATGTATGTCATACCTTGTAGGATAACCTTATCCAATGTACCTTTATGTCATACCACCATGGTATAACCTTATCCAGTGCACTTTTTATGTCATACCCTGTTGCATAACCTTATCCAATGTACCTCTATATTATGTAATCGTTTCCAGTGTAGCTTTCTGTCATACCCCTGTAGTATAAGCTTTTGTCGTGTACCTTTATGTCATACCCTGTGGTATAACCTTATCCAGTGTACTTTTTATGCCGTACCCTGTGGCATAACCTTATCCAATGCATCTTTATGTCATACCTATCCAATGCACCTTTCTGCCATATTCTGTTTGATGAGATTTTCCAGTGTGCCTTTATATTATGACATGTCGCATGTGTTTTGCAATGTCACAAAATGTCCCACAAAAGTGCTTGTTAACATGGCGAGTAACAAATTTGGTGACAACCTTCGGTCAGTGATTCCCGACTGATGTTTGCAAACTATTTTATGTTGTAATGTCTTTTTCGAAAAAGTTCAGTTGAAACAATTTTAAGGTAAACTCATAGAATTATATATGTGAACAATTTCAGCCGTATCAGTTGTTGACGTTCCAATCAATGTATCATAGGCGAAGCATCCAGTGATACAGATAGTTTTGAAAGTTCTTACATTATTCATGTACACTTGAAATAAGGATTCTCCCAATTTAAGTTGGATTTGTTTGTTTTGTGACAGGACAGTTGCATCAGACCAGGCATTGTGACAAACTGATGTTCAAGCTTCATGTTTATGAAGATAAAGTAAAGAGTTCATTTCTCAAAAACGCTCACTCCTCAATCGTTTCATTCACATCCTGGGTTATGTTTATCTGTCCGTAGTAAGATATCTTACATTGACATTTGACAAATCACAGTTTTCTTCAATAAAGATTATTGAATCAGTCTTTTCAGTCAGGTGATGAATTTGTTCAGACATGGCTACATCAGCATCACATTCATTCTGGATCGACTCACAACAAGAAACACTCTCCATCTCGGGAAGCGCCAATGCAACCAAGACAGCCCTCCTTTTCTTGGGATTTCTTTCAGAGGTAAAGCAGGTCTCATTGGCCGTGATGGTGAAACTGAACTGTCATCTATCTCACTGAACGCGTAGCATTGGTGCTGTTGATTGTTCTTGAAGTGTTCCTGAAGAAAGGAGTATCTGTGTTTCTGTTAAAATAGCGGAAAACCCGTTATCCGATGTAAATGTCAGTATTACAGAAAAAATTATTACCGATGAAAGGAGTTTACAATACCAAATCTGCAGTGGAAAATCCACTCTAAAAGATCGTCAATTAACATCAGAAAATCATGATGATGTCAGAAGAAACACTCATACACTGCAGTCCATCAAAATGTAAGCATCAAGACGACAACCAGCTCCAGGTATTTATCTATGTTGTAATTCGTTCTTTACCTGTCATGCAGCTGATGAAATAAGGGACTGGGCCTCTAAAAATAGATCCCATTAAAGTATTAAGTCAGTTTGAACTTACATTTTCTCAAAATCATTTTAAGAGTAAAGAAGTACTAGCACTTACCTCTCTTCACATATATCCGAAATATGATGATCATGGCTAGAACAGTGCAGCATAGGAGTCCTGCTAATGCCCCAAAAGAAATAACCAAAGTGTGCTCAGGTGAACCTGAAATAAAAAGGGTTAATTTGGTAAATCATTTTGACTTATGTGTAGGAGAACATAGGAATCCTGCTAGTGTCCCAAAAGAAATAACTAAAGTTTGTTCAGGTGAACCTGAAATACAAGGGATGTATTGATGAATCATTTTGACTTGCGTAGGAGCATAGGAGTCCTGCTAATGCCCCAAAAGAATTATTAACCAAAGTGTGTTCAGGTGAAAATAAAAGGGATATTTTGGGAAATCATTTTGACGTGCGAAAAGTACACCCTTACGGTTCAGTGAGGGAAACTTGCCACAATGGTCCTGTAACGGATGTGTAGTTTTATTATCCACATGTGAAAGATCTTTCCAACTTTGACACCTCAGAGACAAACTCGGAGACAATGTGTAATTCCACATCTTTTCTTTCTTTTTGTTTACTTTTCCCCCTGTATTGTTTTTGTATTTTATGCATTTGCATGTGTTGGTAAAGGGTGCCACTGGTGGGGCAGGATACAATCACATTTTACCGATTACCTGGTATGGTATGGTATGGTATCGATCACTTTCGTATGGTATTTTATGAACACAAGCTTAAGATATAGTCGGATTCGTACAATCAAATTTCGTCACCTTTATTATCAAAATGCGATTCCTTCTTAGCCAAGTGGTGTTACCATGCATTGCACTGAAATTTCTGGGTCCTTTGATTTTATATAACTCCGCACATTTCCTAATTTCAATGTGTTAGAATAATTGTGTTCAAATGCAAAATATATATGTGGGACAGAGGGACTGTTTTTAGAATCCTTTCTAGGTCAGAAAGGTATTCTCTAGAAAGTCCATGAATATGAGTCACTTTACGACTAAAAACCGATAAGATGACGTCAAGAGCTATTTTCTTCTCAAATAACAATGACTGTTGTAGAGGTTTGGGGTTGAGCAGAAAAACCTGACCATTTTGTTTTATGACGTCATCACACAAGTGTGTGACCTTTTGCTGACTCTAATCGAGTTTGAACCCTTCAGCCCCACCCACCCCCCCTTTTGGATGACTCCCTTCCGGCCCAGGTGTGTGTGATCTTTAGGTTGACCTTTAGTAGTCTGTGATTATTATTCAATTATTTTATGAATAAGAGTGGTATGAGTTTCATTTTGCCGACTCGAGTGTTGGGTTCACACAGCAAACGTCATATCTTTTTTCATATCAACGTAGAATGCATGAATATTACAATATGAATATTAGGTGAATTTAGATGCTTAAAGATGCTATTTAGTAGGTCAAAAGCCAGTCTTTTTTTCAGAAATATCAGAGCGCAGTTTGTTAAATCAAACCTTTGCAGCGATCAATAGGCAGTTTAAAATAGATTACGCTGTCATCCCACTACACTAAAGCAGAATCGTGCGTTGCTCGCTGAGCCAAGCCATAACTGAAGAGACAGTGACATGTGACAGCTGTGATTGGATGATATAGTGTAAGATATTTTTTTTCACATCCATCCTGTCATTAAAACTGACCACAATTTTAAAGTATTTAGTGCTGTCATTTTATCACCATGACTTATACTTACGTGTACAGATATGTTCAAGTAGGTGACATTTGGTGCGGAACTGGGGTTGATGTGTTCAGCTTCCTGTGCCCAGAAAGATAGCCGGACAAGATGGCCAGAAATTTCGTTTTGTTGTAGTTTAAAGGCCAGACTGTAGCCATGTGTACATGGTATGTCTGTTGATAGCCTGGATCATTTTTAACGTGAATGGCGCACAGCCTAGATTGAATGTATGTATACTCAGGTGTCAGCTTCCGTCATTAAGTGTGTGACCGGAATTAAATACGGGAAATAACATTTGGCATTTGTAATATATGGTGTAATTGTATTACTGAATAAGAAAACAAACTCATATTTGCTCTCCTGTAAAACTTTCGGATGCTTTTACTCAAAATTTTAAAGTTTAAACTTTAATTGCAAACTGTTAAATTAACATCAAAACCATTTTATTTCCATTCCCATGAATACTATATGACAATACGCTTATTTTACATCATGTTACACATGGGTTACTGACGTCGTTACCAGCTCTTATTCCACAGGCTGTTTAATATGATTAAATACTGGTGTAAGCTTCTTGTGTATGGGTTTGTATTTTTAGGGGTTGTTCTGTATGAAGTCAACCTAAAGGTCACACACACTTGGGTCGGAAGGAGTCATCCAAAGGGGCTGTGGGGCTTAAGGGTTCAAAACTCACTGTCAAAATCGATAAGGTCAGAAAAAGGTCACACACTTGGGTGATGACGTCATAAAAACAAAATGGCCGTCTTTTTACCGCTCAACCCATGTTTATCGTAAGAGGCGACTACCGGGATCGGGTGTTCAGGTTCGCTGACCTGGTTGACACATATCGTATCCCAGTTGCGTAGATCGATGCTCATGTTGTTGATCACTGGATTGTCTGGTCCAGACTCGATTATTTACAGACCACCACCATGTAGCTGTAATATTGCGTAAAACTAAACTCACTCACTCACTATAGATTCATAGGAACGTCGTGTGTATTGTTTTCCGTTGTACCTTATGTTCCTGTTCTTTTGAGAAACATTGAGTTGCAGTTACATATGCTTGGGACGGCTGATATGGGACGAGCAGGATATTCTCGTCTTTTCACGAACACTTACTACGTGTACCATCACTTATATAAAGTGATTCATAACACATACTTATCACATAGTTTGATTAATACAAGGGATATTTGCTATGAGCAATATCTAGTATGATTATGGAAAAAATTCTGCCTGTTTTCTATCACATGTGTTTTATCTCAAATAACGTCAAAGAAAAATGATCCAAATAGCAACTTTATCTAAAACTTGTTCGTTTTAGTTTGCTTGATACACCAAACATTACAGAGCACATACTGTTCACTACATCCTTTATAAATATAAACATATCCGTTGATTATATAATTCACAAAATATAGTTAAAATGTAAGTATTCTGACAAACGACAGTGGTACCCAGAGGGTGAAGACGCTATGTGGAGTACTTTCTTCAAGGCGCAATATGTGTTTCGAAACATCACGTTTGTTTGAAACCAACAAACAGCCCTGTATCACATCTGGCTTTCCATGAAACATTTGAATATTATTCAAAGAGGCATAAATATGAGGCTTCACTTTCATTTTGGAAACGTGATAATCATTTATGTGTACGAGAGTGATGTTACAATATGCATTAACAGGATTTGACGCGATTTGACGTCTCCTAATTTTGTTGGTCAAGGTAAAACCCTGGGTATAAAGGAATAGATGAGTGAATTATGTTACATACGTTTTTGACAAGGTTCTGTGTGGCACGTGTCCTGTGAACACGGAGAGCACATATCATCACAGTATGTCCTACTGAAGCTCCGGGCACAACCGATACACAGTCCAGTGTCCTTCTCACACCCTTCACAGCCGACGGGACATGGATCGGAGCAGTTCACTCCGTGGTAGTTACTGTCGTGACAGAGGCCCATGCATATGTTGTCATAGCGACCGCACAGTTTACAGTTATATGGGCACGACTCGTTACACAGTTCCCCCCTCAGACCTGGTGCACAGTTGAGGCATCTCGCAGAGTCTTTCTCACATTTGTCACAGTTATCTGGACATGGAATGGTGCATATCTTTCCATAGTAGTTGGCGTTGATGCAAGGTCCACTGCACTGGATTTTTGTGAAGTCATTAATTATACAGTTTGCTCGGCATGTTGTTTTACAAGATGTGCTGTTACAATTACCTCCCTGTTTGTCACATCCACCCTTGCAGTACCCTTCAACACAGTGTATACACTCGCCTGTTTCCCTGTCACAGTCTCGACAGTTGGGGAGACAGCTGTCACAGTATTCCCCTCTGTACCCTTCAACACAACTGTCACACTTCCCTGTGTCTTTATCACATCCACCTCTACAGTTGGGGGGACAGGTAACATCACACTTGTCCCCTGTGTACCCTGGCTCACAGCTGCCACACTCCCCTGTGTCTTTATCACATCCACCTCTACAGTTGGGGGGACAAGGTGTTCTACAGTGTGGACCATAATACCAGGGATTCTGACACAGTCCTGTACAACCATCACCATAACGTTCACACTGTGTACAGGCTGTAGGACAGTTCATACCACAGTTATCTCCCTTCTTGCTGGCCACACATCCCTCTGTACACACAACACGGGTGTTGTTCATCTGACAGCGAAAGTTGAGACAGGTGTCTGGACAGTCATGTTGACAGTGTTTACCCCAGAACCTGACTTCCAGACACTGGAGACATTCTCCAGATGACGTCACATCGACACAGCGAGGTAGACACACACCGTACACACAGGTCACGTTGTTACCGTCACAGATGCTGCAACTACTGCTGGTAGCGGAACCTATGAACAAAGAGACGACATACAATGAAATGACTGATATTAATGTAAGACAATAAATCCGAAACACGTTTCCATTTCTTATTCTCGTCGAAATAAGTAAGTGTAAACATGTTATATTTGGGATTGCACTTTCTCACTCAAGTACAGATTCTAGTACTTTTCTTGTGTTGAGTGAGGGATTCTACTGTGGACACTCAGTGGCTCAGTGGGTTAGGCGGCTGACTGTGTGTGCTGGCGATTAGGTGCCTGACTCTGAGGGTGTTGGTTCGAATCCCGGATGGGACTCAACCCAACAAAAGTACTAGAATCTGTGCTTTACTGAGAAAGTGTGAATGACACTGTGCCTTCATAACTATAATCCAACAGAGTGGTTAAAAAAAAACAACTACTCTTATGAGAATATAGCATGTATAATCTAGAATCTGTATTTTACTGAGAAGTGTAATCCCAAATATAACGTGTTACATTTGACCGTGTGTCATGGTGTTAATCTTACAACTACAACCGCCTGAAATCAGTTATTATCTTTCGACGTACCAGCCATGATGGCTTTCATTGAGACAGTCAAGGAAACAGACTATGACTTTCACATACCGAGTCATCAACAGTCTAGGCTGTGAGAAAATCACGTGTATCCAGGGCAGTGAAACAAATACAGACTTCGTTGCGATCTTGTATCGTGGATAATAAATTATGAGGATGCATGTGTACTGACCTGCTACAGCAGCACACAGTAGGGTCATCACCACGGCATCAACCATGGCTGTTGTGGTGAAGATTTCTGAAAAACGAGATTGAAAGTAGTGCGATATTTTACTGTTTAACTTGCTTTTAACAGCATCAAGGTCATAGTTTTGGATGAGGGACTGAAGCAAATTTATGGAAAATATGTAGCTATGAAATATGTAGCTATGAAAACGGTATTAATAATTGCTAGAGGATTTTCGGAAATTATCTTCCACTCTTCCTCTACCAAGTAAAACAAACTAACTCAAGGAAAATATGTTTGAAATTACTCTTCAGTTCTCTATAGCCCTTTTCCCAACCTATACGTTGTTCTACTGATCGATATGTGTTGCTATAATGTATAACATTTTCGTATTTTGATGTCAATTTCTAAAAATATTCCTGTAAAATAGCCTATGCGTAGTTACCATGCTATGAAATTCACTCCTTCTCCCTCAATTAGTTATCCCCGCTTTCATTGGTAATCCTATTTATCATGCTTTTACCTTGCCTCGGCTTGTATCATGTATAATTATGTTTGTTTTCATTGTTAATTGTCTATACCGAAACGTCGCTATTGTAAGAAGTTGATCATCCATGAAGACTTGTCATTCCTAGGAAATGTGAACACTTCTTATAGTTTGTCATATTCTTAGGAAACACAATGGATGTATATAGATATGTAAATATCAGTTACTGACAACACTGTCATGCAACACAAAACCCATGTGAACTTAGGATAGTAATACAGGGGAGCAATACGGATGACATGAGAGGGTATATAATAAATATAGAACGTCATATTAGTGCATTTGGATATCTTGTATTGAACGAGAAGATGTCATGGGAGCAGAGAGTTCGTGTTTCTCTGCTCCCATGACATCTTCTCGTCCAATACAAAACACCCAAATGCACTAGTATGACGTTTTATATATATATATATATATATTAAACGTCACACTAGTGCATTTGAATATTTTGTATTTCGATATAAGTCATGTATATAAGGTGATATTCTTGAATCCTGTTCCAAATGTGATTCACATGATGTCATGCCTATATATATATGACATCATGTGAATCACGTTTGAAGCAGGCAGGATTCAAGAATATCACCTTATATACATGACTTCTATCGAAATACAAAATATAGTTTATAGATTACTGTATAGAGAATCTATAATATTCACCTTGAGTCGCAGCTTGACTACTGGCTACTCACACGATGGAGAGGAGTGCGTCACAAAGTGGTCCGTGGGAAGAAACTACCTTCCTCACCATCTGCCTTTTGGGTTCAGTTTTGCTAGTAACAAGGTTCAGTTATTACTTCCTACACTCGAGACAAATTAAGGAAATATTTTCAATTTCATATCTTTAAGTATCACGCGGCCTTGAATCGATGGCTACGGGTGCGTTTTGGGGCCTTTTGATTTCAACTTAGTATCTTGAAATTTCAAGCAAAAATATAGAAACACGAATGGCCTTATAAAGCTTCGCAAAAGCGGCTTTTGACTATGTTTATCCACTCACTGATCGTGTTTTGATAAACTAACGGTACAAAGAATTCTTGGTTTACAGCTCCATATACGTTTGAATTTCACTTAAATAACTTCTCTGGGTAGCGAGAAAATATGTTATCTGTTAAGTGCAGACGGGTTTAGTTGTGTGACTTCGTATCTATCTCAATCTACAGGAAACCGTTATTTTAAGTTGGATAATTTGTCCCCAATCCTTTTCATATTTGTGAACAAAATATGTTTAAATCTAACCGAGTTCCCACTTCAAGGGACTCTCCTGAAGAGCATCTTCGTCGTGGTTGGTGCTGGGTAACACTAATAGCTTTTCTCGGACGTGGACCACTGGTAGAATGTCTCTTCAGCACCACATAGTCTTTGTCGTTGGAGGACGGGTGTCTGGTGGTTGAAGGCACTGATTCCAGGAACAGCAAATGATAATTCAAATGAAAATTAGTCACAGCAAATATGACATACAGCATTCCAAAACACAGAAAAATCCGCCATTTCTGTTTGGAGTGTTAGAGGGCATAGATCATTCCTCTCCATTAAACACCCAATCACTCACCCATTCTCCGAACAAAATATACGGAGAACGTTTTTCCATAAGTCATCCATAAATATATTATACAGTGAAACTGTCATAGTCATGGCTAACTTGGATGAAGTGAATGTTCTTGGCACAAAACTATAATCCAACAGCATTCAGCATTCAAGATACTTTTGTGGTTAAAAATTCATCTACTCTTAAGACAATATCGCATGTATAATGCATGATGTATGTATAAAGACTATCAGTGATATCACATCTGGTGGATTAACTATTTTTGGTAGTCAAGGGACACTACGCAGTTTCGTTGAATAGAAACCTCGAGGCTTGGTTGTCTGTTTATCTCTAAACATTGCTATAACACAGTGTTCATTTAAATTCATACATCATCAATGCTTAATAATAAGGATTTTGATCTCGAAACTGAAGATTTGAATGGACGCGATGCGTTCTGGGGTACTACCGGTTATATCTATAAAACGTATTTAATGATAAACAATGCTTATTTACACCCAGCAAAGGGTACATAATCAGTTGTGGACTTATCTGTTACTGGCTCCATTTGTTTTTAATCAATGTTCATTATCTCTTCAATATAATTTATGTCGTAGTAATCAATTATAACTTTAACTGTCCCTCGGTTCTCGACCTATACATAAATGGAAGTTTCCCAAAACTGATTTGCAGATTTTAGATATACACATGGGAAAATTGAAAAAGGATCGCACCAGCAACATGTTTCACAGTATCAATACTAACCATTAAACATAACAAAAGAACTTATCCAAACCTCAATTTCAGTTATCATCTGGATAGACTGAATCTCAAGGAATAATACAATGGCAAAAATAACTAATAGTAGTACACTATTCAGAGAAGAAACCTAAGTAAATGACTCATTTTATAGTGCTGATTACTATTGTTGTATGCGTTCCAAACTTGATGTGGCCAAGTATTGTCGTCCATAAAGACTGGCCTTGTGTTCAGAGGATGGTCTTTGAAATGGACAATAACCTGTCTATGATGTCAGTGATGTAACATTGTCCATTCAGCATTTGTCTCATCATCACAAGATCAAGCTTACAGTCACTTGAGAGGCACCCCCACGCCATCAATGAACCCCCGCCAAACGGTACTTGTTCCATGATATTCCGTTGTCTATATGCAGCAGACACGAGCCATCAGCCATCAGTCACTTTCGTCCGACCTGTGCAGCCTTCCCTATTCAACTGAATCCCAGCCGTGATATTGCTGGAATATTGCTAAAAGTAGCGTAAAACTATACTCAATCACTCATAGCTAATCTATCATAGTTCTATTAGCATCATTGACTTTGCAGAGTGACCAATGGTGGCCTTGGCAACTGAGATCCTTTTGTAAACAATCCTTTAACAGGTTGCATACATTCTCATAGTAAATCACAACCAGTTTCATTGGGAACACCAAGTAGCACTAGGAACAAAATAAATTCCGACCTAACTAATAACATTATTGCTTTCACACCACTCCGAATTTGGGAGATTGCGTAAATAAAATAAACATCTTTAGAATCTTGTTTCATTTTATTCAACACTCTCAAGCATATTTTTCAAGCATTATCTTCGACAATTTATTTCGAAAACACACTCAACCCCGATAACATTCACCTTCATGTTGAGACATTACTCCCTCGCCAAGTTGCCGAAGGATCTGGTATTCAGTTAATATTTCCTTACATTGACATAATCAAGAAAATTGTGTCCTATGTTATTTGTTCACAAACCTCGACATATTTCCTTATGTACAGAGACTGAGGTCAAAGTTTTGATGTCCTCCTTATGTGTCACGGCGCTCCTGTGATCAGGGTGTCATTAAATATGGCTAAAGTAGTAGTATAAAAGGTGGAGAAATTTCACAATTGTATTAATAGTACCTTAGACATGCGATGTAGAGGATCAATGCCCCAATTAACACTGACAATAGACAGGTGATTAACAAACCATGATACAAACCAAATACACAATCTGATTAGCTCAGCAACAGTATAACCGCGATTAACAAAATTAGCTACAACCACTCTCTGACAAGACAATCAACAAGTTGCACAGCCAACCAAGTCGGCTGTTATCACATGGGAGTTCTGTGAAGTGCAAAATTCATTTATTCAATTGAATAGTGTAATAGGTAAATATCAACAGCAGGACCTGAGACACAAGAGGTATCATATGTACACTGTGACTGTTGGCTGGAATGAGCAATTCACTGCCTGACAACACAACAACCACTCGCGACTATGCCTCTGTTTGTGTGCGTGCATGGGTGCGTGCATGAGTGCGTGCGTGCATGAGTGCGCGCGTTCGTGTGTGTATTCATCAATATGTATTATGACTATTATATTACTGTGATTGTGTAGGGTAACATGCAGAACAGCCACGAGTGATATGCATAGCGGAACATTTTTACATATTTTTATGAAGCGTTACTGTCATAGCACATCTAGTAAGTGCAACTTAGACAATGATGAACATACTGAATTTAAGTAAGGCGTGAGAGTAAGTAAATACTTACTAAACTGTGTTTTATACATGGAATATCATTGATTTAAAATACATACATTAATACGATATTTACATCATATACACCATAACTAAAACATTTCGTCTGTGAAAATATACATGCATATAAATGCAACATGGAAAACATAATACAACAGAGACGTAGGGTCAATTTGACAGTCTTGAATTGATAGTCTCTAAATTTCATTTGAAGGCGAAGGCGTAGCTCGGCTTCAAATGAAATTTAGAGACTATCAATTCCGTCTAACATTCATCTTATTTCAAAACACAGTACGTTTATCTCCTAAATATTCACAGAACAAAATATACGGAAAACGCTTTTCCATAAGTCATCCATAAACTCATAAAAATATATTATACAGTGAAACTGTCATAGTCATGGCTAACTTGGATGAAGTGAATGTTCTTGGCACATAACTATAATCCAACAGCATTCAGCTTTCAAGATACTTTTGTGGTTAAAAAATCAACTACTCTTAAGAGAATATAGCATGTATAATGCATAATATATGTATAAAGACTATAAGTGATATCACATCTGGTGGATTAACTATTTTTGGTAATCAAGGAACACTCCGCAGTTTCGTTGAATAGAAACCTCGAGGCTTGGCTGTCTGTCACTTGAGAGACACCCCCACGCCATCAATGAACCCCCGCCAAACGGTACTTGTTCCATGATATTCCGTTGTCTATATGCAGCAGACACGAGCCATCAGCCATCAGTCACTTTCGTCCGACCAGTGCAGCCTTCCCTATTCCACTGAATCCCAGCCGTGATATTGCTGGAATATTGCTAAAAGCGGCGTAAAACTATACTCAATCACTCATAGCTAATCTATCATAGTTCTATTAGCATCATTGACTTTGCAGAGTGACCAGTGGTGCGCAGACTAAGGACTTGGCAACTGAGATCCTTTTGTAAACAATCCTTTAACAGGTTGCATACATTCTCATAGTAAATCACAACCAGTTTCATTGGGAACACCAAGTAGCACTAGGAACAAAATGAATGTGTAGGGTAACGTGCAGAAGTGCCACGAGTGATATGCATAGCGGAACATTTTTACATATTTTTATGAAGCGTTACTGTCATAGCACATCTAGTAAGTGCAACTTAGACAATGATGAACATACTGAATTTAAGTAAGGCGTGAGAGTAAGTAAATACTTACTAAACTGTGTTTTATACATGGAATATCTTTGATTTAAAATATACATTAATACGATATTTACATCATATACACTATAACTAAAACATTTCGTCTGTGAAAATATACATGCATATAAATGCAACATGGAAAACATAATACAACAGAGACGTAGGGTCAATTAGGCCTCAATGGTTTCGATAGAAATATTTAAGTCTACACTATAAATTGATGGAAATAGTTAACAATTAAATCATTCTTCATATAGGTTGTTTTAAGATTTCGATTTTCAATGACAAATCACTTCATATTAGGGCGTATGCAAATGAAACAATGTCAGACCTAAACTCAAAACACATCATTATTCTTATTACTACTGTGTCTTAGTGTTGTGTGTCTGACGGCAATTGTACGTACATTTGGACAAATTCTTGTTTTAAAATCAGTAACAGAATTACTGTTTCTTATTACTGTTAATTATTGCCTCTTTCATTTTGTGAAACCGCTGTTTTCATGAATCGTTGAAAACGGTGTTGTTCGTGCAAAAAAGAATGCTTAGAAATTCATATTTGTTTTTAATTTCAGCCGTATCAGTAGTTGAAGTTCCATTCTATGTATCATAGGCTAAAATCCAGTGATACAGATAGTTTTGAAAGTTGTTATATTATTTATGCACACTTGAAATAAGAATGGTCCCAGTACTGAATCAAGTGTGACATCTGCCATGCTGAAATTGTGAATCGACACATGGCCACTGAGACATTCCTCGGCGACGATCTATCAAGTAACTAATAAGTTACCATTAGTGTTATATTATGTAATCGTTTCCAGTGTAGCTTTCTGTCATACCCTGTGGCATAACCTTATCCAATGCATCTTTATGTCTCATATATATTTATTTCCGGTACTGAAAGGCCACAGGCCTGTAGTACAATGCATTTATAAATCAATATTTACACGCACGGTTAATATACATGAAGAAGGGGAAATAATCAACTTTAGGTTACATTGTGTTCTGAGATATATTCTGTCCTAAACAACATGGCATAGTAAACAAACATGGACAAGTTTTGAAGTATAGTATGGGTTTTGTTATTCAACAATGCTGAGAATTTATAAAGGTTTGGATGGGCACAATAATATTTCTTAATATACAACTTTCTGATGGAATTATAAGCAGGGCAAATTAAAAGAAAATGATATTCATCTTCTATTTGGTTAAGATCACATAGTTTGCAAGTTCTTTTTCTTTTTTTGACATTTTTAAATCTTCCACTTTCGATAGATAAATCATGTGAAGAACATCTCAATCTGCTTAACGCTATCCTATACTTTTTACGTTTAGACATGAAAGATAAGTTTCGGAGTCAAAAGTACATTTAAACACTTTATAATACAGACATTTACTGGAAAGTGATATCTTTTCAAACCATTCTTGCAAGTAGATATCTTTTAATCTTTGTGTTAGTTCTAAAATAAACTTACCCTCAGAATCAACATACTGATCGTTCCATACAAAACCAAACCCTTTCGAGAATAGAAAATGTCTAACAGCAGAAACCCAATTTGTGCGTCCATTTTTATCGAATAGCATCATCATATTGTAACATTTCTTTGGTAGCCTATAAGAAGGCATCTTCAGTAATTTTAACCAGTATTTTATAACTCTGATATTTGTAAATAAGTGCATCGGGTATTTACCACATTCTCCATACACCATTGTATTCATCGTATTGGATTTAACACCAAGAAATCTTTTACATGTTTTCAATTGAACTCTTTCAATATCACTGTAATAATTTAAACCCCATATTTCGGCTCCATACAATAGAATTGGTTTAATTTTGGCATCAAATATTTTAAAGTATGAACTTATATTTATGTCACCAAGTACATTTAATTGTTTAAAGATACCTATCATGACCTTTTGTGCTTGCAAACAAGCGTAATTAACATGTGTTGTCCAAGATAAACAATTACTAAAGAACATTCCCAAATATTTGTACGAACTGGTGCATTCTAATTCTTCACCTTTATACAACCATTTCTCATTTTTTGATAAACGTCCCCCTTTTTTAAAAACTACTACTTTAGTTTTATTTCTATTTACAGCTAATTTGTACTGGTCACAATTCTCAAGTTCTTGTATAAGTCTTTGTAAACCTGCAACAGTGCTTGAGAATAGCACGATATCGTCTGCAAAAAGCAGAAGAAAAATATGTACTAGGTCAGGGTGTAACTGTATTCCATACTCACAATTGTTTTCAATTTGGGTTGCTAATTCATTTATGAAAAATGAGGATAAAAATGGGCTAAGTATACAGCCTTGTCTTACCCCGATTTGTAGTTCAAACGAATCTGAGAATTCATTGTTATTCTTAACACAAGCTTTAACATTTTCATACATATTATGAAATTTTTTTCATTTTAGGACTTAGACCATGGGTATTAAAAATAGACCATAGCTTTGTCTATCAACTGAATCAAATGCTTTTTTCGAAATCAACGAAAAGTGTATAGAGTTTACCACCTTTGATGTTGAGGTATCTCTGTATAATACTTTGCAATATAAACATATTGTCAGTAGTCGTATATCCATGTCTAAAACCTGCCTGAGATTCATTTATTTTATTCAATGTCTCTCCCCAAGCTACTAATCTTCTGTTAATGATAGAAGTGAAAACCTTACTAAAAATACTCAAAAGAGTAATGCCTCTATAGTTATTTGGATTATCGATACTTCCTTGTTTATGGAGCGGGACAATAATGCCGATTGTCCAACAAGTTGGAAAACTACCATTTTCTAATATTATATTGAATAATTATTCTAAATATGGTGCTAAAATATCTGCCGAATTCTTAATTAACTCGGGTATTACGTCATCAATACCTGGTGATTTATTGGGTTTTAAGCATTTAATGCTGTCCAGAATCTCGTCCCTACTAATAGGAGAGTCCAGCATATCCTCTGTTAGCGCAAAATTAGGGTCAGGAGACGTTGATGGATTTGCGTCGTCAACAAAGTTATCAGTATTATTATCCGTTTCTAAGTTGAAAAGATTTCTAAAAATGTTGATGCCACTCATTCATACTAATATTGTTTTTTGCTACGATAGAAGTGTTCAAAGTTTTCAGTTTAAGCCAAAACATTTTTGAGTCCCATATGCTATTTTCTATGTCTAACCGCTTTTCTTTAAAGTAATCAAGTCGCTTTTGTTTACATACTACATTATATTCATTTCTTATCTGACAATATTCTTCAAATGACCTCTTATCTTTCGATTTTCTAAACTTATTTAATAGCTTACAACGTTTAGTTTTTAAGTTTCTCACATGCACTATGATACCATTTGTTTAATATTTTCCTTGGTGTACCAATTTTTCTTTTTCATATTTTCCGCAGCTAAAACAGAGAGCATTAGTGACATATTTAATGCTGTCATCAATATTTGTGAATGCATTATCAACTGATTTATCAAGTAATGATTGAACATGATCCGAAAACAGATTCTCTTTAAATTGTTCAGCTTTATCGTTTTCCCAGAAGAACTTATAAGCATTATTTGGATGTGTGTCACACCCGTCAGAATATCTAACATGATCTGTCTTTACTGATAGTGTTATTGGTAAATGATCTGACTCGATACGAGATTGTATGCTAAAAGCACCAACAAAGTCAAATAATATCGATGATGAGATAATGTAATCTATTAGGCTTGTACCATTATTGCCTATATACGTAAAATCCCTCAGTTTCTAGGTCGCTGCCACATCGCCCGTTCATAATATGGATATTCATGGTAGAACATAGATCTAGTAAGGTGTTACCAAAATTGTTTAGAGTTCTGTCGGCGGAAAAACGTTTTAGATTAAAAAATCAATTAAAAAGTCCCAATAGGATTCTTTTTGATTTTCTGTGTATTCTAATAAATCATCCTCTACAAAGTCCAGGTTCGTGCCAGTTCGAGCATTAAAATCACCACCACAGAGAATATAAACATCTGGTAGATGAGATACAACATCTAATAATGAATCTTGAAATAAAATTATTCCATTTTTACAATGTGGATATAGTTTATCGTACCATGACGAGCCTTCTGGTTGAATGTATACACATGCGTAGAGGATATCTCTGTCCAGACCATACCTCTCCAATGCACCTTTGTGCCATACTCTGTTTTATGAGATTTTCCAGTGTGCCTTTATATTATGACATGTCGCATGTGTTTGCAATGTCACAAAATGTCCCACAAAAGTGCTTGTTAACATGGCGAGTAACAAATTTGATGGCAACCTTTGGTCAGTGAATCCCGACTGATGTTTGCAAAACTATTTTATGTTGTAATATCTTTCGAAAAAAAAAGTTCAATTGAACAATTTTAAGGTAAATTCATAGAATTATATATGTGAAAAATTTCAGCCGTATCAGTTGTTAACGTTCCAATCAATGTATCATAGGCGAAGCATCCAGTGATATAGATAGTTTTGAAAGTTATTACATTATTCATGTACACTTGAAATAAGGATGGCCCTAATTTAAGTTGGATTTGTTTTGTTTTGTGACAGGACAGTTGCATCAGACCAGGCATTGTGACAAACTGATGTTCAAGCTTTATGTTTATGAAGATAAGTAAAGAGTTCATTTCTCAAAAAAACGCTCACTCCTCAAAAGTTTCATTCACATCCTGGGTTATGTTTGTGTGTCCGTTGTAAGATATCTTACATTGACATTTGACAAATCACAGTTTTCTTCAATAAAGATTATTGAATCAGTCTTTTCAGTCAGGTGAAGGTTTTGTTCAGACATGGCTACATCAGCATCAAATTCATTCTGGATCGACTCACAGCAAGAAACACTCTCCATCTCGGGAAGCGCCGATGCATCCAAGACTGCCCTCCTTTTCTTGGGGATTTCTTTCAGAGGTAAAGCAGGTCTCGTTGGCCGTGATGGTGAAACTAAACTGTCATCTATCTCACTGTACGTAGCATTGGTGCTGTTGATTGTTCTTGAAATGTTCCTGAAGAAAGGAGTATCTGTGTTTCTGTTAAAATAGCGGAAAATCCGTTATCCGATGTAAATGTCAGTATGCGTTCACGTATTACAGAAAATTATTATCGATGAAAGGTGTTTACAATACCAAATCTGCAGTGGAAAATCCACTCTAAAACATTGTCAATTAACATCAGAAAATCATGATGATGTCAGAAGAAACACTCATACAGTGCAGTCAATCAAAATGTAAGCATCAAGACGACAACAAGCTCCAGGTATTTATCTAAGTTGTAATTCGTCCTTTACCTGTCACAGCTAATGTAATAAGGGACTGGGACTCTAAAAATAGATCCCGTTAAAGTATTAAGTCAGTTTGAACTTACATTTTCTCAAAATCATTTTAAGAGTAAAGAAGTACTAGCACTTACCTCCTCTTCACATATATCCAAAATATGATGATCATGGCTAGAACAATGCAGCATAGGAGTCCTGCTAATGCCCCAAAAGAAATAACCAAAGTGTGTTCAGGTGAACCTGAAATAAAAAGGGTTAATTTGGTAATTCATTTGACTTGCGTAGGAGCATAGGAACCCTGCTAGTGTCCCCCAAAAAATAACCAAAGTGTGTTCAGGTGAACCTGAAATACAAGGGATGTATTGGTAAATCATTTTTACTTGGGCAGGAACATATGCGTCCTGCTAATGCCCCAAAAGAAATAACCAAAGTGTGTTCAGGTGAAAACAAAAGGGATATTTTGGGAAATAATTTTGACGTGCGAAAAGTACACCTTACGGTTCAGTGAGGGACACTTGCCACAATGGTCCTGTAACGAACATGTATTTTTATTATCGACATGTGAAAGATCTTTCCAAATTTGACGCCTCAGAGACAAACTCAGAGACATTGTGTAATTCCACAAATTTTCTTTCTTTTGTTTACTTCTCCCTTGTATTGTTTTGTATTTTATGTCTTTGTAACGGGTGTCATTGGTTGGGCAGGATACGCTCACATTTTAACGATTACCTGGTATGGTATGGTATGGTAATTTATGAACACAAGCTTAAGATATAGTTGGAATCGCACAATCAAATTTCCTCACTTTCATTTATCAAAAATATGAATCCTTCTTAGTAAAGTTGTTATCAAGCATTGCGCTGAAATTTAGGTCCTTTGATTTTACGTAACTCAGCATATTTCCTAATTTCATTGTGTTATAATAATTGTGTTCAAATGCAAAATATATCCGTGGGACAGAGGGACTGTTTTAGAATTTTCTGTGAGTCAGAAAGGTACTCCCTGAGTCACTTTACGACTAGAAACAGTAAAAACCGAAAAGATGACGTCGCGAGCAGGTTTCTTCAAATTACAATGAGATGACATCACTAGAGATCCGGGTTAGAATTGATCTTCAGTATCCCTTGTCGTAAGAAGCGTCAGACTCGCTGACTTGGTTGACATGTCATTGTAACCGAGTTGCGTAGATCGATGCTCATGCTGTTGATCACTGGATTGTCTGGCCCAGACTCCATTATTTACAAACCGACACAATAAAGCTGTAATATTGCTGAGTTCGGCGTAAAACTAAACTCACTCACTCACTGGAGATTCATAGGAACGTCGTGTGTATTGTTTTCCGTTGTACCTTATGTTCCTGTTCTTTCAAGTGAAACACAACCCATGAAGATCCGGGTTAGAATGAACCTTCAGTAACCCATGCTTGTCGTAAGAGGTGACTAACGGGATCGGGTGGTCAGGCTCGCTCACTTGGTTGACACATGTCATCGATTCCCAATTGCGTAGATCGATGCTCATGCTGTTTTTCGCTGGATTGTCTGACCCAGACTCGAATATTTTCAGACCGTCGCCACACAGCTGGAATATTGCTAAGTGCGGCGTAAAACTGAACTCACTCACACTCAAGTGAAACACTGAGTTGCAGTTACATATGCTTGGGAAAGGTGATAGGATATTCTCATCTTTTCACGAACACTTACTATATGTACCATCACTTATATAAAGTGATTCATAACACATACTTATCACATAGTTTGAATAATACAATAGCCATTAGTCGCTGGGCCCCTCGACTGTCCAATCAATCATTGATGAACTCATCAATCTAGCAGGCAGTCCAGTTCTAAAACTTCCATATTGGTCTCACTTATCCTCAGATGAAGCAGAAGCATCAAAACCCGAGTGTCTTTGATCTGCACGCATGGAGCATATCAAGAACTTGATCAGGCGCGGCTATTCCAGCAGTGCAGCAGTCTCCCTGTCTCTATGCAGATCTACCAGAAGCCTTGGAGGAGTCTTGGCCGATTTGCCAGAAGTAAGGGGATTCCAGCAGATATATAACCTCTCAGAACCTCAAAGAATCTCATCAGCTCTGTCATCACCATGGTGAAGGCTCCAAACTCACTCAGAATGTCAGAGTTCCATTCTATAGACCTCAGCCTCACCAGAGTTGATCAAGTTCCAATGCATCAGTGCATCTTGGTCTCCGTTTGGATTTTATTGCCAGACCGACATTTTCACATCCCACTATTATCTTCAATACTTGGCAATGAAGATAAGGAAGACTTATTACTGCGTCTGGGACAGAGTCCCACGCATCTATCTACGTAGAACGAGCACCAGACGTCAGAAGTTAAGACGACTCTTTATCCCGCTCATGAGAGATGTCACAGCAGAAGTATCCCAAATACCTATATCCTTCTGGATGTGATCGGTGATACTTCGAGCATACAGAGATGTAGGCTTAGAACCTCCCTCAGCTTCCAACCCACACGAAGTAAGAGCACTATATGGCAATTGCTCTTTCCCTACCATCATGGAAGGATGCTTTGGGAATATTTTTCGTTTTATGTTTAATCACTTTTGTTTGAGATTATTTGCGAAGAAAAACTCAGTTTATGCCATCCCATCAACACATGTACAGCATGTCAAATGGGCAGCTTACCAGGCAGGTCATGTATGGGGTCAGTCATTCTTCCACAGCCTGAACTCCCATCTCCAAGTGAGTGGGGTTGAATGCAGAAGGAAAGTGGACAGTATGTTCCCTACTGGACGACACTACACCAGGCATCACAATCTTAGCAAGAGTTGGTATCTTGTCTGCACAAAGGGGTGTGAAACCGATGCAAGTGCAAACAGTCCTCACTTACATGCACTGGTGAGAGAGCCAGCGTTCATAACATTGACTCAGCTATATTTTCAAGATGTTTAACCGGTATTTTGGTTCAGTATTTTTTTTAAAAAGTCGCCCCATTGGTGTACTGATGGCAGGCCCAAACCCTATAACGGGAGCCAGAAAAGGCAAAATATTATTTATCTACTGCGTATACGCAAATGAAATTATTTTGAGTGCCTCCATATCCTAAAATGTACACTATGCATCAGTCAATAAATGTGCAAAGTTTCATGCTTTTATCATTAAATGCACATTTTATCTGCTTAGCCGCTCCACTAAAGGGATATTCGCTATGTGCAATGTCTAATATGATTATGAAAAAAAAATCTGCCTGTTTCCTATCACATGTGTTTTATCTCAGCGTCAAAGAAAATTATCCAAATAGCAACTTTATCTAAAATTTGTTCGTTTTAGTTTGCTTGATACACCGAACATTACCGAGCATATAATATTAACTACATCCTTTGCAAATATATACATATCCGTTGATTATATAGTTCATTAAATATAGATAAATGTAAGTATTCTGACAAACGCAGAAATGTGAGTCCAATATGCACAGACGTATATAATAGACGCAGAAAAAATACATATAATGTGTCCCCTGGAACGCACAATAATATTCAATGTTCAAAATTCGTGACAAAATATCAAGTTCTTGTAATGAAAGTAATCATTAAACCTTAGAGTGCAGTCTTCTACATCATGGCATCACTTTACAGGACTCGTATTTTACGTACGGAAACTTGAATTTAGAAAGTGGGGGTTCCTGATGTTCCCTAATTTTGTTGGTCAAGGTAAAACCCTGGGTATAAAGGAATAGATGAGTGAATTATGTTACATACGTTTTTGACAAGGTTCTGTGTGGCACGTGTCCTGTGAACACGGAGAGCACATATCATCACAGTGTGTCCTACTGAAGCTCCGGGCACAACCGATACACAGTCCAGTGTCCTTCTCACACCCTTCACAGCCGACGGGACATGGATCGGAGCAGTTCACTCCGTGGTAGTTACTGTCGTGACAGAGGCCCATGCATATGTTGTCATAGCGCACAGTTTACAGTTAGATGGGCACGACTCGTTACACAGTTCCCCTCTCACACCTGGTGCACAGTTGAGGCATCTCGCAGAGTCTTTCTCACATTTGGCACAGTTATCAGGACATGGAATGGTGCATATCTTTCCATAGTAGTTATTGTTGATGCAAGGTCCACTGCACTGGATTTTTGTGAAGTCATTAATTATACAGTTTCCTCGGCATGTTGTTTTACAGGATGTGCTGTTACAGTTGTCTCCCTGTTCGTCACATCCACCCTTGCAGTACCCTTCAACACAGTGTATACACTCTCCTGTTTCCCTGTCACAGTCTCTACAGTTGGGGGGACAGGTAAAGTTACAGTACTCCCCTGTATAACCTGGTTCACAGCTGTCACAGTGGCCCCCTCTGTACCCTTCAACACAGTGTATACACTCGCCTGTTTCCCTGTCACAGTCTCTACAGTTGGGTGGACAGGTAATGTTACAGTGCTTCCCTCTGTATCCTGGTTCACAGCTGTCACAGTCTCCTGTGTGTTTATCACATCCACCTCTACAGTTGGGGGGGACAGGGAACATCACACTTGTCCCCTGTGTACCCCGGCTCACAGCTGCCACACTCCCCTGTGATCCTATTACATCCACCTGTACAGATGGAGGGACAAGGTGTTCTACAGTCTTGACTGTAATACTGGGGATTCTGACACGGTTCTGTACAACCATCACCATAACGTTCACACTGTGTACAGGCTGTAGGACAGTTCACGCCACAGTTATCTCCCCTCTTGCCGGCCACACATCCCTCTGTACACACCACGGGTGTTGATTATCTGACAGCGAGAGTTGAGACAGGTGTCTGGACAGTCATGTTGACACTGTTTACCAAAGAACCTGGAGTCCAGACACTGTAGACACTCTCCAGATGACGTCACGGTGACACAACGAGGTAGACACACACCGTCAACACAGGTCACGTTGTTACCGTCACAGTTGCTGCAACTACTGCTGGTAGCGGAACCTATGAACAAAGAGACGACATACAATGAAATGACTGATATTAATGTAAGACAATAAATCCGAAACACGTTTCCATTTCTTATTCTCGTCGAAATAAGCAAGTATAACACTTGTTATATTTGGGATTACACTTTCTCAGTCAAGTACAGATTCTAGTACTTTTCTTGTGTTGAGTCAGGGCTTCTACTGTGCAAGCTCTGTGGTTCAGTGGGTTAGGCGGCTGACTGTGTGCTGGCGATTAGGTGCCTGACACTGAGGGTGTTGGTTCGAATCCCGGATGGGACTCAACCCAACAAAAGTACTAGAATCTGTGCTTTACTGAGAAATTGTGAATGACACTGTGCCTTCATAACTATAATCCAACAGAATGGTTAAACAAAACAAAACTACTCTTTGAATTCCGTGTGTCATGGTGTTAACCTTACAACTACAACCGCCTGAAATCAGTTATTATCTTTCGACGTACCAGCCATGATGGCTTCCATTGAGACAGTCAAGGAAACAGACTATGACTTTCACATACCAAGTCATCAACAGTCTAGACTGTGAGACAATCACGTGTATCCAGGCAGTGAAACAAATACAGACTGCATTGCGATCTTGTATCATGGATAATAAATTATGAGGATGCATGTGTACTGACCTGCTACAGCAGCACACAGTAGGGTCATCACCACGGCATCAACCATGGCTGTTGTGGTGAAGATTTCTGAAAAACGAGATTGAAAGTAGTGCGATATTTTACTGTTTAACTTGCTTTTAACAGCATCTGAGTTTATCAAGGTCATAGTTTTGGATGAGGGACTGAAGCAAATTTATGGAGCTTTGGTTCCTATGGAGTGTTCTATTTTGTATGGGTGAGATTCGGATCAAATGAAATGGGAGATCACGGAAGGAAACATTACAAACCACGGTCCTGGATCTGATAGTGCATGTTGCAGCTTTTGATTCTGATAGGGTCTGATGCACATAGAACTATGTATATTTGTGGGAAAATATGTAGCTATAAAAACGGTATTAATAATTACTAGAGGATTTTCAGAAAATATCTTCCCCTCTTCCTCTACCAAGTAAAACAAACTAACTCAAGGAAAATATGTTTGAAATTACTCTTCAGTTCTCTATAGCCCTTTCCCAACCTATACGTTGTTCTACTGATCGATATGTGTTGCTATAATTTTCGTATTTTGATGTCAATTTCTAAAAATATTCTTGTAAAATAGCCTGTGCGTAATTACCATCCTATGAAATTAACTCCTTCTCCCTCAATTAGTTATCCCCGCTTTCATTGGTAATCCTATTTATCATGCTTTTATCTTGCCTCGGCTTGTACCATGTATAATTATGTTTGTTTTCATTGTTATTTGTCTATACCGAAACGTCGCTATTGTAAGAAGTTGATCATCATAAAGACTTGTCATTCCTAGGAAATGTGTACACTTCTTACAGTTAGCCATATTCTTAGGAAACACATTGGATGTATATAGATATGTAAATATCACTTTAATGACAACACTGTCATGCAACACAATACCCATGTGAACTTAGGATAGTAATACAGGGGAGCAATACGGATGACATGAGAGGGTATATAATAAATATAGAACGTCATATGGATGTCTTGTATTGAACGAGAAGATGTCATGGGAGCAGAGAGTTCATGTTTCTCCGCTCCCGTGGCATCTTCTCGTTCAATGCAAAACATCCAAATGCACTAGTATGACGTTTTATAGATACATTAAAGGTCATACTAGTGCATTTGGATATTTTGTATTTCGATATAAGCCATGTATATAAGGTGATATTCTTGAATCCTGTACCAAATGTGATTCACATGATGTGATGCATATATATATGACATCATGTGGATCACGTTTGGAGCAGGATTCAGAGAGAGATAGTTCTTTATTTCTGAACTGTAGGCCAGAGGCCCATAGTACAAGTACAAAACAGTTACAATGGGTGTGTGGTACAAGCGCGTTTGCGTTTTAACAGTGCATGGTGTATAATCGTAGCAATATTCTGAAGTAGCTGTACATTTTCTGTTGACATTAGTATGCTGAATTTGTAAAATGTGGGACAGGACGTGTACTTAGATGGTATATAATACTTTCTTAGGTCTTCATACTGTGGAAAGATGAGAAGGACATGGTATTCATCTTCAGTAATATCCCTGTCACACATTTTGCAGGATTGGCTCTCAGTAACATGACATATTCTTTCAAAATACATTAAATCATAGTAGCCACATCGAAACTGCGATAACGATACTCTTAATTTCCTTATACTTACGTCTGTTAAATACTTTCACACATAAAATGTTGTTTAAACAATGAATATGAAGAACATTTTCCAGGTTGAATATTTCTGGTCCACTCTTGCTGGAAGCAATCCTTACATCGTTGTTGAACAATGGATAAAAAAGCTGTAGCGTCCCCAATTCCCTGACCGACCCATGCATATCCAAGACCAAGTTGGAACAATGTCTTTTTGATTAACATAGCCCAGTTATGCTTATTTCTAGCCTCGCTAGCATTTTCTACCAGATACAGGAGCATCTTATGGGCTTTTAAGGGGTAGCGGTGAGGACGCATTGAGATGACTTTCAACCAATATAAGATAGAACGTTTCAGTGCCAAGATATAGATTGGGTATCTTCCGCATTCACCTAATACAATATCGCTGGATGTTGATCTGCAGATGCCCAGAAAACGTTTACAAGCTTGCAATTGAATTTTTTCAATGCTTTTAAATCTTTGAACACCCCACACCTCAGAACCATATAATAGAATTGGCAGGATTTTAGTGTCAAAGATTTTAAAATATAGTTCATATGAGAGATTTTCAAACTTAAACAAGCTACGTTGAACGGTTATAAGAGCCTTCTTAGCTTTAAGAGTCAGATTGTTTATAGCTGCCTGCCAAGTGAAATTTCTTGTAATTAGCATGCCAAGGTATCTATATGATGATGAAACTTTAATTGGAGCAAGTTTGTAGGTCCACTTTTCCGTTCTAGAAAGTCTGCCCCCATGTTTTAAATACAACAATATTTGTTTACATTTACTTGGAGACTCCATGTTTCGCAGTAATTCTCTAAAATATCAATTTGTTTTGGGAGTCCAATTACCGTATCAGAAAACAGAACAACGTCATCAGTAAATAAAAGAAGAAACAGCTCGAGTAGGTCAGGGAATAACTGAACGCCATTTGTACAAGAAGACGTGATTTCATCGGCCAATTCATTAATGAAAAATGAGAACAGAAATGGACTAAGAACACAACCTTGCCGTACCCCTAGAGGACATTCAAATACTTCTGTGTTTACGTTATTCGACGTACGAACACATGCTTTCACATTTTGGTACACAGACCGCAACACTATCCATTTTTTACCCTAGTCCGTTCTTTTTGAATAGATACCAGAGTTTTTGTCTGTTGACGGAATCGAACGCTTTTGAAAAATCAATAAAACAAGCATACAGTTTTCCACCCTTTTTTGAGAGGTATTTACTGATAAGGGCCTGTAGGGTAAAAATATTATCAATATTTCGTAAACGCAAAGACGAGGAGTCTCTAGCCGCTTATGTAACAAGTAGAAATGCATACAAATCAGCTTGTAAGACGGCCAAGCAGGATTCAAGAATATCACCTTATATACATGACTTCTATAGAAATACAAAATATAGTTCATAGATTACTGTATAGAGAATCTATAATATTCACCTTGAGTCGCAGCTTGACTACCGGCTACTCACACTATGGACAGGAGTGCGTCACAATGTGATCAGTAGGAAGCAACTACCTTCCTCACCATCTGCCTTTTGGGTTCAGTTTTGCTAGTAACAAAAGGTTCAGTTATTACTTCCTACACTCGAGACAAATTGAGGAAATATTTTCAATTTCATATTTTTAAGTATCACGCGGCCTTGAATCGAACTTGCTGCGATAGCTACGGGTGCGTTTTGGGGCTTTTTGATTTCAACTTAGTATCTTGAAATTTCAAGCAAAAATATAGAAACACGAATGGCCTTATAAAGCTTCGCAAAAGCGGCTTTTGACTATCTTTATCCACTCACTGATCGTGTCTTGATAAACTCACGGTACAAAGAATTTTAGGTTTACAGCTCCATATACGTTTGAAATTCACTTAACTTCCCTGGGTAGCGAGAAAAAATGTTATCTGTTAAGTGAGTGAGTGAGTTTAGTTTTACGCCGCACTCAGCAATATTCAAGCTATATGGCGGCGGTCTGTAAATAATCGAGTCTGGACCAGACAATCCAGAGATCAACATCATGAACATTGATCTGCGCAATTGGGAACCGATGACATGTGTCAACCAAGTCAGCGAGCCTGACCACCCGATCCCGTTAGTCGCCTCTTACGACAAGTATAGTCGCCTTCTGTGACAAGCATGGGTTGCTGAAGACCTATTCTACCCCGGATCTTCACGGGTCGTTATCTGTTAAGTGCAGACAGGTTTATTTGTGTGACTTCGTATTAGGGGTGGGCGATAATACCGGTTAACCGGTATATTGCAATTCCAATTTCACAATACGATATATTGCGGTACACTTTTCGCGAACCGGATTACCCAATGTAGTCAAAACTACTAAAAGAATTTGTATTTCCTTTATATTATCATACACTTATAGTTTTGAGAATGTTTATTGTTCATATGATTGCATTTGCGTGACGAGTTCCAAACTTTAGA